TTACCCTCTTAATTTTTTTTAGTAATTTTTTATTTAAATAATCTCTTCCTGATTAATTTAAAAGAAATGAAAGAAAGAGAAAAGAGGAAAAGAGATAATATTCTTTTATTTACTTTTACTTTCTTTCAACTTCCCTCATTCTATTAAAATTATAAAAGAAAATAAAGAAAATTTGATCTATTCCCCTCCCCTCCTCTTTTTTAGTAACTTTTGTTATTTAATTAGAGAAATTTATTTCATTTTTCTCATCTCAAATAAAATAAAATAAAAAATTTAGACAAATTTATTTATATTTTAAACCTTTTTTATTTTTCAGTTATTTTAAAAACACACTACCATACGCAATTCATATCTTGTTTGTGTATGACGCTTGGGTTACCCTCTTAACGCGGGTGCGTATTTAGTTTATGAAGCTTTGCAAAGTACGAGGGTTTAGTTGATAACAAAGTTACGTTATGGGTAAAACTGATTCGTTTATGAAGATTTATGGGTACAAGTAACTTCTTGAACTTTAACGTGGTTAAAAAAAAAAAAAAAAAAAAAAAAAAAAAAACATCTCGAAGTTCGATTATTAAGGTGGCCCGGATTTATGGGCTCAAAGATAATGAAAAGCCCAATATTAATTTATTACCAAGGTTGAACTATTTTTTTTTTTTTTTAATATGGAGAATTTGGGGATGGAGATTTTTTTTTTTAACTTGCGATGGAAATTAAATTTTTTATCAACTAAACTTAAACATTAAAGTTTAGAAATGAATCATTGAATCCAAATACTTGATTCCCCTAAGGTTGAACCTTGAAAGATAACAAACACAATTTATTCATAACATTCACAAAAGCAAAATTCCAAGGCTGAGTAAACAGTAATTTCTCCACACTGGCTACGATGCTGAAACATAAATTTCTCCCTTGGCACAATGAAGATGTGATGAATTCAGTCAGTCCCTTCTCCCCGGTTCATTTCCATGCCTGCCACCCAGCGGAGCCGCTCCTGCCTCTCCGTTCACGACCATATCCTCAACGTGAAAGTTGTTGGTGCCCGGAAGATGCAGTTTGCCTTGCAGCTTTGGATTCCAAAGCAAACTTTTCTTGATGGAGTGTACCATGTGCAGCCTTTCAAGCTGCATATCTCCATATCCAGCAAGCGAAGGATGCTCCCTGCCCCAATAACCAATAAAACACCAACATTTCACACACATCAGGCCTATACCATAACAAATACGTACCTCACAAACAAATAATAATTTAATTAAAATGTTTAAAAAAAATTGGGACACAGATTTATTAGAAGGTGTCACTACTAGAAAATATGATTTTTTTGGAGAGAACATTTCGGTCAAGATGACTTTTGTCCAAATTAATATTTACTTCAGAGGTTATTCCGATTAACAATTCGGTCAAATAATTTAACTGAATTATTTTTTATTTGGTCAAAATTGACACTTATTCGGTCAAAATGCTTGACCGAATAAGACCATAATTCTAGTATAATGTAACACAATATTAGAACTTGTACCTAAAATTTTCTAGGGTCAGAAGTGCCATGGCTTCCTTGAAGATCGTCTCGCTCTGTCTGTTAAAGTCTTGCAATTCCTTCAAAAGGATATCCAAAGCTTTGAGAAGGTCCTTCTTCTCCAGAGCTTCGAGGTACTTCTGTTTCCTGAGTTCAAAAAAAACCCACATTGAATGCCAGTTATCGTCCATGGTAGTAAACCCCGAGAGGTATTTTTCAGCTTCCTCGTATTTCCCCTCCATTGCCAGTGTCTCAAAATACTTTATATCAAAGTGACAACCAGATTCCTGCTCCAGCCTACCGGAAAGAGAGTGCAAAAAAATAACAGTAATAATAAAAAATAAATAAATAAATATTTTGATTTAAAAAAAGTATTAATTTGAATGGATATTGAATTGTATAGCTTAAATTATTGAACAATGAGGGAAACCTGATATTAGGGATAATTTTTTATTTAATAATTTTAATTTTACAATCTAATAAAAAGTTCTTTTAATTTATATAGGATCTTTTAATTTTTAATAAATAAATTAATTAGTGCTAACTATTATAGACATTTGATTGAGTCACACTCACATGTGTGCTGTAGCATGCAAGTTGTGGTCTTTTAAAAACCTGATGACCGTCAGGACAAGCTGCTTGTTGGGAGCTGCCATTTTCGCGCGGTGGCTGTAATCTAGAGAAGAAAATGCAAATCTAGTGAAGGTGATTATGGTGATGAGAACAAAAGCAAAGAAAACCATACAAAAAGAGCTTACCGGAGAAAGGGAAGAAAATAAAAGGGTTCTGAGAGAACTCTCTTAATTTGCTGCTGCGGCGGAGGAGAAAGTTCTCTAATTCTCTTGTGGTGGAAAGAGGCAGGGCGGAGGCTCTAATTTATAGGGAAGAAGAGGTGGACTTTCTTGGTGCATTAGATAAGTTGTGTTCCTTATATGGAAACTATTTAATATTGTCACCATAGACAGAGCAACAAGTTAAAAAACAAGCATATTTTGTAATTAAGAAGTTTAGAATAATTTTTCAGCCCCCTATTCTCACTGTCTGGCATGTGTGCAACACTCTCTCAAGTTTGGGTTGGATGTATACGCTCACACTGTACGTTTGTATTATATGCCTTTGAAAGTTGTTTTTATCTTCTAACATTATAAGCAAAGAATTTTCTAGGAAAGCAACATTCTACAAACTTAGATTATGAAATCTAGACATGATATTTTTAATAGATTACAAGAATTAAGTTCAATAAATTTTTATAATACTAAATGTTAATTGCTATGTGAATGTTAATTAAAGTTATGTGTAACTATTTTTTCTAAATAAAATTTGTGATGTCACGCGTCGTATAAGCGAGTATGTTATCATGTCTTATTTCGAAACTAATATTTATAAAATCACTTAAAATAATTACAAATTTAGTTCATAAATTAAGTACATCGATCAAGTTATATATTAATTAATGATACCTATGAGCAAAAATATGTAAATGATTTGTTGACAATATTTATTGATAGGAAAATGATTCGAATACTTTTCAATTTAACATATATGTTAACACGTGACAGATACAATAATACAAATATAATATATGTGCAATCAGTTTAACTGATTCATTCATATTATATGCATGTTTTTATTTTTAAATTTTTTTATTTTTAATTTTATAATAAACAATAATAAATTTATTATAAATTGTGTTAAATCAAAAGACATTTATATCAATATCCTCATTGATAACATGATGACATGCCTTTAACTCTATGTTACTATATATTATCAACGAATGTTCTCAATGTACCAATAATATGTTAGCTCGAGTTGAAGGAATTCATTTTTTTTAAATAAAATTTTGAATTCGAGTTTTATAAAAAAAAAAATATACATTATAAAAGCTTATCTCTTATGAGGTTTGATGTCATTTGATTCTAAATTAGTCTGATTCTAATATGGCTTTTGGATACCATAAGTTGGTAGGAAAAAAAAAATGTTCTCAATGTACTAATAATATGTTAGTTTAAGTTAAAGGAATTCATTTTTTTAAATAAAATTTTGAGTTCGAATCTTATAAATAGAAAAATATACACTATAAAAGCTTATCTCTTATGAGGTTTTATGTCATTTAATTCTAAATTAGTCTAATTCTAATATGGCTTTTGAATACCATAAGTTGGTAGGAAAAAAAAAATGTTCTCAATGTTTTGAGAGGTACCCTATGAGCTTTATTTTCTACATATTCTTTTGAATTGTGAAGATTAAGATTGCGTGCATCAGTGGGGGAAAAATGAAGGGAGATGATGAGCAAGGGACTAGGTTAAAATCAGTGTTTAACCACACCTAATCTTTTCTTTCTAATGGAGCAGGGACATTCCCTTAAAGCGTGTGGTGAATTGGTGAACATATCCTAGTTAATATGGGGCCCACACAAAACTTTTAATTTTACACCATATATGGGGATATCTTACCTGTTATTCTAATTAGTGGGGTTCATAAGCACATAAAATTACCACTGTGCCATAGAAAATGCAAATTTAAAATTTAAAATTTAAAATCATCTCAAATGGCCAGTTTGGCTGTCCTTGAATCACCCACTAGAGGATCCATCTTTCGGTGTTGTTTGGTTTACCTGTTTGAAAATATCTTATGAGTAATATTTGATTGTTAATATTTGTTGTTTATATTTTATTTTATTTTTTTGTATTTATAATCGAAATATCTTTAAATTAATTTTTATGTAATTTGAGATTAATCTCTTTTTAAATGATGATAAGGGACACCTCCATGTGACTAATATATTTAAAAAAATTAATTTTCTTTAAACATTAACCCTAAACTTAAACTATGAATATAGGGTTACAAAATGACTATTTATTAATAAATCTAACACTTAATATTACATTTTAAATATTACTATTAGTTAGTAAATAATTCCAATCAATTGTAAATTGCTCAAAACAACTAAACTAAACCAAGCAAAGCCAACCCTTTGTAGCTTGAATGCAAGTGGGGTCCTCCAGTTTTATAATTTCCACCTGTTTTTTGTTTAATCAATAAAATACAGCTGGGTTTTTGTTGAGGATAACGATAGATGAGATGAAAATTTTAAAATTAATTATGTAATATAAATCACGTGATATAAGTCATGATTATTTAAGATATTAAAAAATAAATTTTATATTATTTAATAATAAATTTTTTATTTTTAAATTTATAATATTATATATATAAATGTATTTGATAATATAACGTATATTATATCATTAGTCTTAAATTTTTATCTTTTATATCACCACTCTTTGGTTAGGTGTGTACTAAATATCAAATATTGAAAATAGATTTCTTACCAATTATAAATTTTGGTAAGTAACTTTCATGGTAAACAATTGATTGATATAACTAATTAATAGTATTTTTTTAAAAAAATAAAAACTAATTCCATATATTCATTTTTCAACTTACCCAAAAATAAAATTTGAGCCATTTTTCAAAAAATAAAATATGAATTTGTTAAGTAATTAAAAAAGAATTTGAAGTCTAAAAAGGAAAAAATGTTTTATTTTTTAAAATTAATCAATTGTAAATCTATGCCTCCGCACTATAAAACGTAGTTTCTGTTCATGCCGAATAGATCAAAAGGTGTTTGGAGTTGCTTGGAGCATCAAATCCTAAGGTACGAGGAGGGTTTGATTCTGGTGACTCTTTGAGGTTTACGGAGAAGAAAAAATTACCTCTATTCTTTCGGTAATGTTAACTACTATTGATCTCAATCTTTCCTTTGTTTTATCTTTTATTTCTTTAATTGTGTTTATATGCAATTATAGGTTTCTTATGTGATAAAACTTTGTCAATTTGTTATAGATATTTCATGTTTTAATTTTCTCATAATACATTCAGATTGTCTCGGTTATGCTCGATTCTAGGTGTTAATTAGTACCCAAAGTTATAATTATTAGTGTTACATACTAAACACTATACAAACCATTAGATATATGTTTAATTTTAGGTGAATCAAATTACCAAATTTATGAAAAATAAAAGATTTAATGAAATATTGAATCTAAAAATCAAATTAAAAAAACTCTAAATACTAAAGAAAATGATTTAGAGATAATTTTTTTAATTTTTGTATAACTTATTCAAATAATTAATTTTTTTATTTATTTAAAATGTATAATATTAAATATATTTATTTTTTAAAAATATATTAAAAATATATAAAAAATTATACAAAAATTACCTTTATATCACTGTCGAAATACTAAATCTTAAAACCATATTTTTCTAACAAAAAAACAAAAAAACGTTATCATTAAATCATCTATGGTTATAGGCTCATGATCTCAAATTTAACAATTATAACTTGGAGTTATGAGTAGAGTTCCTAAAATGCGCGATTAGGCGGCGCCAACCCGATTGGGCCTGATTGCAAGGCAACGAACAATCTTTCATCTTGACTTGCCCCTTCGGTGGTGGGGTTGGATGATGGTTATGAATAAGTTACATTAATTTTATGAATTTTTGTTTTTATAAATATATGATGAATTATACAATAAAAAATATTTTTAAAATTTTATTGTTACTTCATTTTAAAATTTTAACTATTGTGACATCGTATAAAAAATAATATTTATATTAGATCTACAAATAAAACATAATTTAATTTATTAATTTAAATAATTTAGTAATTATTTTTTTTGTTAAAATTTAAAAATAAAAAATTATAAATTTAAATAATATGATATGTAAATAAGGTAACATAACAAATGAAAGATAATTATATTTTATTGTATAATTAAAAAAATGACATAAAAAATAAAAAATAATTCCATCTTATTATACAACTAAAAAAAAAAAAAAGTTCAATTTTGATTTCAATTTTAGGAAAACCCGTAGATGACGCGGGTAGATATCTCTGTGAGATTCCTTCCTAGAAAAGATCTCTGACATACCCTTCACATAAGGTCTTGAAAAAAAAATAAACAGTAAAATGAAATAGTACATTTGGTTTTTTACATTTTAATCCTCCAAATTCTATAAAATTTGCAACATAGTCCTTAACCAGGGTAACCCATCCCCTTTTCTAATATCTACCCGTAGGTGTTCATCATTAGGCATGAATATGTTATTTCCAATCCAATTAGCTACAAAGTAAATACAATAAATTTTTATTACTTTTTTTTGTTTAATTTAATTGATTTAATTACACCTCAATGCTAGAGGTTCAATGATACTAGTCATTTAATAATTACTTTTTTTTTGGTTTCGAATTTGTCTTATATCACAATGTTTTAAAAAAAATTTAATTGATTTAACTTCTTAACTTAATGCTTTTAATTTTTTTAAATTTTTTTAAAACATGATTTAATATTTTTATTCATATTTTATTATTATTTTAAGACCATAACAATCACTCATTTAAGTAATAATTAATTATAAATAAATATAAAATTTTATTAATTAATTATTTGTACATTCGTATTAAGAGTTTCGAAGAAAAAATTTAGACAAGGTAAAGTTAATGAAGACCTGCCCGTTTCGAGCATTCGGAAGCAGGGAAGTTTCGTGTTAACCTTCTTTTTAGGCGAATCACATCGGCTGGGACTGAACTACCAAACTTTTCGTTTTGTCCTCAAGTTAGACAACAGTCCACAGCATGCACTGACCCAAAAAGAGTATTTTATTCACTCGCCTTCACATCGCGTGCTATACAAGCAGTGAATGATTTCTTCTACAATTTAAATTTCAAATTTTGAATGTTTTCTTTAAATAAATTTTTAGTTTAACACTTTTTTTTAATAATTACTATTCCCTAAAATCTTCCAATGTTAGTGTGTTCTTTTAATTTAAATATAACTTAATTTATCTTTTAATTAAAATTAAAATTTAGTTTTATATATTTAATGTATCATAAAAATAATTTATTAATAACAATAGATAAAATAAAAGAGATAATTAGACTATGATAATATTTATTTTAACATTTTATAAATAATTATTAATTGTTAATTCTAACTAAATAAATTAAATATTTTAAATTATAAATATTAATTATTAATTATTGTATCAAATATCAAATATTAATTATTAACTTCATTTAAACAATGGGTTTGTTTATCTTGTGTCCTAAAAACACATGATAAGAAAGAATGATTGAATAATAGTTATAGTATTTTTTTAAAAAAAATGTGAAATTTTAAATTAAAAAATAATTTTTTAATTTAAAATAAATCATTAAAAATTTAACATATGATATTTACAATTAAAATAAAAATCAATTTTATCACTTTTAAAATAAAAAATAATTATTATTCAATCATTATCCCTTATCCTGCTGTACTTATATAAATCCCTAATCAATCAATTAATCTAATACAATGACTTACTTTTTTGTTAAGAAATAATTGGCGAGTGCTTTTCACTCGCTCAAAATGAGATAGAGATTGACTCGCAACTGTCGTTGTAACCTTTATAACAAAGTAGAGACAGCTGTCTGATGTGCTTTCGTCAGCGGGTCCTACTTTGGACACTTATATCGCCTACAATTTATCACCCTACTTATCATGATAAGCAAGTTCACTTATCCTATAAATATTTATTTAGTCTGAACTCAAAGAAAAAGGCGCATCTTCTCAGAAACAGCGCTCTCTCCCTCTTCGCTTGCAGAACGGAAATCTCCGCTGCTCTCTCTTCTTCATCCCTTCTTCAGGCGAGCCTCTGTTCTTCACTTTTCTTCTTTCTTGTTCAATTTTCGTAAGAATTTGCCTTTTCTTCATCTTCACATGCTCTTTTCTCTGCACGCGGCTTTACTGCACCTTTCCAATTTTGTTACAATGAGAGCTAAAGCTACTTTCCCGTTCGCAATTCTGTGAAAAAAACCCTAAATTTCCTCTTCTTCTGAGCTTGAAATTCTTGAGAAAACTAGAAAACGTGTTATTCGTTTGGTAATCACTTTTAAGTTTTTGTGTTGCTGAATTTATATGAAAAACTCTGTTTGTTGTTAAATTTGCATTCTGAGAAAGGAGGAGGAAGATTCAATTTTGTGTTTAAGAACAATTTTTTAGAATATATTTATGCATTATTTTGAAAGGATGAAAAAGTGTGTGTTTTGTGTTTGATCTTTTGTCTCATACGGGAATCTCCTTTTTTTTTGCTTGCTGACAGAGATTTTGGAAGTTTTCGAGATAAGAACAGTAAGTTTCAATGGCGTCCGGGCTCGGCAAAGACCTAATTTACGTGATTTTGCAGTTCCTTAACGAAGAAAAGTACAGAGAAACTGCTCGCATGTAGGATTTGAGTACCCACTTCTACTTTCACTTTCAATTTTTGTTTTTGTTTAATTAACCTCGTTGATATGGAGTACCTTCTTTGACCCTTTCTATGTTGTTGGATTAACAGGCTTGAGAAAGAATCAGGGGTGTTCTTTAACATGAAGCATTTTGAGGAATTGGTGATGGGCGGGAAATGGGATGAGGCTGAGAAGTATCTTTCTGGATTCACCAAAATGGAGGACAATCGCCATTCAATGAAGATCTTTTTTGAAATTCGAAAGCAGAAGTACCTCGAGGCATTGGACAGGTAAGTCTTCATTCAGATTAATTTAGAAATTTTAAAGTCAATCTATTGTTTACGAATTTTCATTGTATTACTTTGATCAGGCAAGATAAGGGCACAGCTGTTGATTTCCTCCAGACTGATCTGAAAGTATTTTCTGCTTTGAATGAAGTTTTGTACAAGGAGCTAGCTCAACTTGTTGTCTTAAATAACATAAGGTATGTGTTCGGTTTGGTTCAGGATTTTTTAACCATATGGGTAATGATGTGGTCAGGAATTACTCTGAAAATCACATGATTTCCGCAGGGAGAATCCACAGTTAACAAATTATGGGGATTCAAGGACAGCTAGAGCAATTATGTTGGTAGAGATCAAGAAGCTTATTGAGGCAAATCCTCTTTTCAGCATTGATAAATTGGTGTTCCCTGAGATGAAGAGTAAAAGGTTACACATGCTCATCAATCATAGGTAATATTCCCAAGACAAATTCATACTTCTGTTGAACAGAAATTAGTGAATTATAATCATAATTTTTGAGTTGCATTTTTTTTTTTCTTCATGGGATGTGTCTCCGCATTTTGGGATGGGGGTGGAGCATATTTTACATTTCTTGCAATGGTGATTATCCATAGAGGCTGAACTGAGACATTGACTGTGGTATGTGTTTGGCAGCCTAAATTGGCAGCACTCTCTTTGTGCGAATCCACTGCCAAATCCTGAAATGAAAACTATTTTGGTGGATCACCATTGTAGAAGTCCAAATGATCAGTATGGTACCCAACTGAATTTAAGCAATCAGCACCATGGTTTTCAATCAAGAGCTGAGGGTTTGACTCCAATGTTTGCAAGTGGGGTAAGCAACTAGGCTGACTTGGTGTTGTGATCGTTTTTGTTTTGTATTTTGGGGATTTTCCTAAGTCTCTAAGTTTTTCTCTCTTTGTTCTCTGTAAGATATTTCAACCCATGGCAGCACCAGTTCAAACTCCTTTGAGCTCCTGGATGGCTGCTACCCCTTCAAGTTCAAGTCATCCAGTATCTGGGGCAGGGATAGTTTTAAGTGGTCTAACAAATACAAGTAAGTATGTGAATTTTTTTAATTAACTTTTCACATAAATATGCCTCTAGGTAATGGATAAATTTCTTCTATTGCCAGGTATGGCAGCCGTGTCAAGGGGTGCTGGGGATTTTGCCAGTACGTCAAGAGCAAGGCCTTCTGCAGCTGCAGACAGGGTAAGTTTAACCCAACTGCACTAGAGCAATCCTATTCAGACTACATCTACTTGGTATTCACACATGTTATGCAGACAATGATGCCAGGACCAAGCCACAGTCAGAATGCTGGTTTGACACTTAACACAAGTGATGATCTTCCCAAGATTGTTGCACGGACATTGAATGTTGGATCATTCCCTACAAGCATGGATTTTCATCCTATTCAACAGACTCTGCTTCTGGGTTAGTTTTATGTCATGTGATGGTTATTTCAGATGTCGTTTTGTCTTTCATACATTGACTTATGTTTCATATATTTAATAACTTATATATCAGTTGGAACGGATGTGGGGGACATCAGTTTGTGGGAAGTGAGTTCTAGGGAGAAGTTGGCTTCAAGAAATTTTCAATTAAGGGATATAACATCAAGCTCAATGACATTAAAGGTATGCTTCTCCTTAATAAGTGAAAATTTGAAGCACGATATATAGCTTTGTTTTATGAATATGAGCTTAATCTCAATTGATCTTTGTTTGATCCAGGCAGCTTTAATCAAAGATCCTTTTGTCTCAGTTAGACGTATATTATGGAGCCCTGACGGTTCATTCTTTGGTGAGATTATTGAATATATGACACAGTTTGAAATAGCTTGTAGTTAGCTGTTATAGTTTGCTAAACTGTAGAATTCTCTTTAAACAGGAGTGGCTTATTCCAAGCACTTGGTGCATTTGTATGCTTATTTTGGAGGAAATGACATCCGGCTTCACTTGGAGGTAGATACCGTTCTCTTCTCTCTATTAATAGATCCTAATAGTGTTCCGATATATTTAAAAAATGATATGATGGTAATTCTTTTTTCTTTTTTATTTTTTTTTAATCTGTAGATTGACTCTCATACTGGCAGTGTAAATGATATAGCATTCTCCAAACCCAATAAGCAGCTTTTCTTTATTAGTTGTGGTGCTGACAAGACCATCAAGGTTAGTTACAATTAACTAGTTAGGTTGCTATTATTGGAAAAATGTTTTCTGTAGACTGAATTTGTCTACTTTAGGTGTGGGACATAGCAACTGGGGCTCAATTGCATAAATTTGAAGGTCATGAAGCTGCCGTGCATTCTCTATGTCCTCATAACAAGGACAATGTTCATGTAAGGACTCTGCATGATACTCAAACTTACCAATTTTTTCTTGCCTCCTACAGTTGGCTAACGTTTTCATTCTTCAGTTTATCTTTTCAACATCAGTAGATGGAAAGATAAAGGCATGGTTATATGATACTGCGGGATCCAGGGTTGATTATTTTGCACCTGGTTGCTCCTGTTCAACAATGATCTACAGTGCTGATGGGAAAAGGTCTGTCTGTAGGATATGCTATGTAATTCATTTGCACCCTGTTTGTAATTTTTGAGGATATGTAAGTCAGTGATTTTATTGAACATATTGTAGATTATTCTCATGTGGCACTAGCAAAGAAGGAGAAACACACTTAGTTGAATGGAATGAAAACGAAGGAATTGTGAGGAGAACCTACCAAGGGTTTACCAAGCGTTCTTTAGGACTTGTGCAGTTTGATACTAGCAAGAATCGCTACTTAGCTGCAGGTGACGACTACTTGGTTAAATTCTGGGACATGGAGAATCCAATTCCTTTAGCAACTACCGATGCTGAGGGAGGACTAACGGTAAGTTTTCTCATTACTGGTAGTACTTTTATGAATACTTTGCTATTATCATCATTGTAGGTAGCAGAGTTCAATCAAAATTGTATATTGTGCATAATAAGAACTGCAGTTTGACTTTTTCGTTTTCTCTCACATTCAAGGCAACTCCGCGCATTCGATTTAACAAGGAAGGCTCCCTGTTGGCTGTTTCTGCGAATGAAAATAGAATAAAGATCTTGGCAACTGTTGATGGCCTTCTCTTGATACGTACGTATGAAAGTCGTACAGTTTCTGCATCAAGAGGGGCTTCTGAGATTCCAACAAAGGTAAATCTCATCAGGTTTCTTTAATTGACTACTTCTGAAGGGTTTCTGTAATGTGCCTATAGCTAATTATTGAGTGCATGTGCCAGAATGGTGACTCTATAAATCTTCAAGATGTCAAAGGTAAAGGAATTGCAGAAGGAAACCCAACAAAAGCCTGGAAACCCACTGAAATTAATGCACCAGCTCGATTTCGTTCATTGAAACTCTCAGCTCATATTAAAACGGATAAGGTATGATTTCCATGGAAATATAACTTAGGATTGCTGAAAAAATTTAATCCATTTTTGTTTTATCAATACATTTCAAATGTTCACAATATTTAGTATGCTCTTTTGAATCTAAATACTGCATAACTGATGGGAAAAAGAAAAAGATTTAAGGTGCAGTGGTAACATGTGATTCTATGTACATCAATAGTTAGAGTACCACTGCTTCCTTTGTATTTTCTCAGATTGCTATGAACAGTTTATTGCCTTGAAGTAACCATAAGAAGAAAAAAAAATTATGATGGGCCTTTTCTTTTATGGTTACAGATATCAAGGTTGATTTACAATAATTCAGGCAATGCAATTTTGGCACTGGCATCTAATGCAATCCATCTACTTTGGAGATGGAGTCGAAATGACTTGAACACTAGTGGCAAGGTAAAACAATCCCCTCCTCCAGAAATTTCATCTCCAATGCCTAAATTGACGAATAAGTTTTTTTTTTATTATTATTTTTAAATATGAATCTCCTCTTCTAATGATATTTATCCCACAATTTTCTTGATGCAGGCAACAACCAAGGTTGCCCCTCAACTAATGCAACCAGCATCTGGATTAGTAATGATCAATGATCTGACTGACTGTAAGCAAGATGAAGCTGTGCCCTGTTTTGCTGTGTCCAAGAATGACTCCTATGTGGTGTCTGCATCGGGAGGGAAAGTTTCATTGTTCAACATGACGACATTTAAGGTAATCTTTCTGATGATACCATCGATTTTTAAGGATTTTTAATCTAAGATGTTTCATATAGAGATTTTAAATTGTTTCTAACCCCTAAATATTGTTTTCTTGAAAAAAAAGAGAAGGCAAGCTTAAAGGAAAACCGTTAGATCTCTTGACTTATTATCACAGGAACTTGCAGTTCTAACATTTTCATGAAATAATTGATTTCTTCTGGTTGGCTGCTGCTCAAATATCTCTTTCTTTTTCATTTTGATACTGACAAAGTGACAACTGAAAGATCGTGAGTTTATGTAGCATTGAAATATTCACAGTACTCATGGATTATACACGGAAAAGACATTCATGGCCAAGAAAAGAAAAAAAAAAAAACGCAGAAAAGACATTACATTTATCCTAATGTTGGCATTGAAAATGAACTGCATTTTCATTAACTACTTAACGATTCTGTGGGTGACTGCAGACAATGACATCTTTCATGCCTCCACCACCTGCGGCAACATCTCTAGCTTTCCATCCTCAAGACAACAATATAATTGCTATTGGCCTGGCTGATTCCACAATATGCATTTATAATGTTCGTGTTGATGGGGTATGTCTTTTACTATAGGGGATTGCTGTCTGTAATTTTATGCAGTAGAGGGCAAGTCTTAGAGTTGGTCATTCTGTCTTTCTTATGTTAGGTCAAGAACAAGCTAAGCAGTCACTCCAAAAGGATCACTGGCCTTGCCTTCTCCCAGCTGCTAAACACACTGGTTTCTTCTGGAGCCGATGCACAGGTGTGTGCTTTATTTTGGATGACTTGCACATATTGTTCCAGTTTTGGTTTCGGTCACAGAAGCAGACATTAAAACCAATTGTAGGGACCCAAAAATGAAACAAAAGTAGTTCTTATTAATAATCTTAGAAATGGCCTAATTTTGATCTTCTCTCTTTGCAGATAATTGTTTGGGACTCTGAGAAATGGATTAAGCAGAGAGGCTGTTTCTTGTTTCCTCCTGGGAGGAAATGTGCAGCGTCAGAGACAAATGTGCAGTTTCATCATGATCAGAAGCAACTGCTTGTGATAAATGAGGCTCAGCTTTCCATTTATGATATCAGAAAATTGGAATGCTTAAGACAAGTATATATCATTGTCTATATCAGGATTTAGTTTTTCAAAAATCACTAGTAAATGAAATTAGCTCTCTTCTGATACTCCCCTATGCTACTTTCTCTCCTTAGTTCTCACCACGAAAGCAAGTAATGTTTTATGTCATCTTTGGTTTTCAGTGGATAGTTGAAGAATCTTCAGCTCCAATCTCGCATGCAACCTTTTCATGCGACAGCCAGTTTGTGTACTGCAGCTTCTTGGATGGAACTATTCGTATATTTGCTGCGCCTAATCTTCAATTACAATGTCAGATTAATCCTGCTGCTTACCTTCCATCTGGTATAAGGTATGCCATTACCTTCTTATTGTTTCCCCACATAATTCTAAGTTTGTTCCTAGAATTTCAAGTACATCAGATACAATCATACAAGCCTTGTATCATGAATCTCAAATGATCTTGGAAGTTTCGTTACTCATTTCCCTTTGTTCATCCCCTGCAGTTCTTCTGTGTATCCCCTCGCAGTCGCAGCACATCCTCAGGATCCCAATCAGTTTGCCATAGGGCTAGTTGATGGAAGTGTTCATATTCTGGAGCCACCAGAAACTGAGGGAAAATGGGGTGTGCCCCCACCTCTGGAAATATCCTCAACAAGTAGGACTCCTCCTCCAGCTGCAGCCCCAGATCAGATGCAAACTGATTGATTCAACTGGAATTCTAGCTAATCTTGGTTGCTTCTTTTGAACATTTTACTTGGTAAACATGCACCAAAAGTGCAAAAACATCATGGAGTTTTAGTTGGCAATTTTTGTTATCCCTTGTTAGGACTTGTCAATGACCATGCTATTAGTGGCCAATGTACTTATACAAAGCCAAGTGTTTGTTTTATTGTGTAAAAAAAAAAAAAAAATTTCTCCAACTTTTATTAAAGTTCATGTTAAAGCAACCCTGATTGTTGCTTCTTGTTCTGATCAATTCCTGTATATTCTTTCTCCAGATGAATATTTTCACCATTGATGCATCAGTGGAAAACACAGACCATCTGGAATCAGAAATATCTTCAATTTAGACTGCATGCAGTCTGGGATATAAAAATACTAGAGCATCTTTATGATTTATTAAAATTATTTAAATATTTTCACAATCTAATTATGAAAGTACCAAAGCCCCCTTAGATTTATGGAAGATATTTTACAACTAGAAGCCAAGAACGTCCGTAGCGTAAGCCCAAAAAATTATGAGCCCAAACAGAAAATCTATCATACCCCCAAATTTGTAAACAACCTATTTATTCAGTCCCAAATTTGTAAAACAATTTAAATTCAGTGCCCAATCAACGTAAGAGAAAGAGTAATTGTTGAGTATAAATTATATGTGTTAATTTTTTTTATAAATTTCTTTTAAATTAAAAATTTAAATTATAAGTTAAATATAAGATTTAAGTTTTAAAATTAATATTTAAAAAATAATATTTTAAATATATTAAATTAATATAAAAAATGTGCCTTAAAAATAACTTTAAAAGAAAATAAACTTAAAATACCCTAACTAAAAAATAAATAAACTTCTTTTATTAACTCAAAATTTCACACTTCTTTAAGAAGAAAAACACCATCATTATTTAAAAGTTACGCCCAAGCCACAACAAATCCATTTGTCCAAGAATCCCAAAAAGCAGAAAAAACAAATGTTTGAGTCAATCCTATAAGTCAAAGAGAATCATTGCTCTTTCCATACATTTAGCACAAATCTAACAGATCAATGATTGTGTCACTCCTTCAGATCCAAGATCAAAGGTTAAGATTGTGTCCGTCATCTTAACAACAACACTGTATTGTAGTACTACACTTACCGGCAAAACTCTTTCTAGAACCCTGTGCTTTCCTGTCCTTTGCTCCCCGCAGTGCAGTAGATACCTAAAGCTCGCATCTTTAAAACCCTAGCATAAACCCACCTTCAAAATTACTAAACCCTAATTTTCTCTACTCTAAATCTCTAATCCTTTTTTTTTTTTTTCAATTACGGTTTCCATTTATTTTGATTTTTGATTTTTCTCTGTCGGGAGCTTGTTGGGGATTGCGCCAATGGAGGGTCTTTGCTCGGACGTCGTCGCGCTGGAGAGTTTCGTGAGCTCTGCGGTTCAAGTTGCGGTGGCGCAGACGGCCATTGTTGCTGCAAATTCCGTTGCTTGGTCGCTGTTCATGGTATAAATTTCCGTCCTTTTTGCTTTTTACTGTATCTTTCTCAGCTTTGTTTTTTTTTCCCCCCCAAATTTATTGGGGGAATTGATAATTTCATTATTTGACTGAATTCATGAACTGCTTGTCAGAGGGCTGAGTTATGTTATTCTATAAAAGCTAGGATTTTGCTTCTTAAGCAGTACTGTATTTCATTATCAAATTTTATCTTTTTTAATTATTTACTTTGAACTCCTAAATTTTCATATATGTTTTCTTGGGAAGGGCTTCCGGATTTTGGTTTACCTGTTATAGATTGTTCATGGGGTATGGAAATTCTTAGCTATTGTTGGTGCATTTAAGTCTTTGAAAGGAAAAATTGAGGGAAAGTGAGGATAATATTCATTGGGAGTAGGCTGAGCAGCAGTTAATTTGATGATTATACCTTTCCCTTCTCAAACACCCCTTATCATGCCCCAGCTAGAGGAGCCGGAGGCAAATTTTGAGTGGTTATGTTGATTCTTTCTTTTCCAACTTCTCTTTGTGATTTGCTTTTATATCTAACAACTAAGTGGAAATGATGGTTGGTCAAGGGGGAGTTAGAGTCACATACTCATTGCTGCTGATTGTACTTACCAAGCAGAATTGTATATAAAGAGTTCTGGGTATGTGTAGTTATTTGATTAAAGCATTGTTTGATATTCAAAATGACAATGACCATCGTAATTTCTTTTCTGCTTATGGGTTAGGTATTACATCTCAGTTTCAACTTGTTGATCAAATGTAATAAGCTTGTTTTGCTTGCTTGAACGCAGAGGAGGAAGATGAGTGTTGTATATACCTTATCCAGTTTATCTAGTTTTTCAGTTGAGACTTGAGAGTATGAGGAGAAAAGACATGAGTTATATATTTATTGAATGACCACAGAAGGGAGCTGCAAATTCTAGGATTGATGAATGACATGCTGCCTCTAGTCTGATCTTTAATGCCTTTAAATGAGCATGTGTGATTTTTTTACTTCCTCAATTTTGCCATCCTAATTTTTTTTTTTTAATCTATTGTTGCACTCTTCTTACTTACAATTGCCCACAAGCATGTTAAAACAATCTATCAGTAAGCATGAGTTTGAATTTCTTTTTATTGTTCTCCAGATGGGAAGTCTGCCTAATGGAATTGATGTCTTCCCGAAAGAACCCGATACATTTACAGGGTTAGTTTCATGATTTATTTTTGCCTCGTATAAAGTCATGTTCTTCTGCTATCCAATCTGGAAAAATAAGTAAAGTTTCTTTGCAGGTTCCCACTTGCCCAGCTTCATGCTCTGAGAAAACCGGATTCAGAGAACAAAGATGCCGGTGAAACTGATGATGACGAAGAAGAGGAAGATGAGGCTGCAGATGATCAGGATGAGGATGGAGGTGAGGAAGAAGATGGATCTGGTGAAGACGGCGAAGATGATCCTGAGGATGAGCCAGAGGCAAACGGTGACGGTGGCAGTGGAGATGATGATGATGATGAAGAAGATGACGACGAGGATGACGATGATGCTGAAGAAGAGGAGGAAGAAGACGAGGAAGAAGATGAGCAGGATGAGCTTCCTCAACCACCAACTAAGAAGAGGAAATAAACCAGATTATCCTTTCTTTATCCCGCTAGAGCTAGGGCAGTATGGTGTAGTTGGAGAGGCTAGAATGGGTATGATTCATGGTATTTGTTCTGTCCACATTAGTGTCAAATCAGTAGATTAACATCGCAATACTTTGTGGATTATGACCTGCTTGATGTTGTCTATTCTCACAGTTGTAGGATGCTTTTATGTTCCTTCCCTTGTGACTCTATTTTACTTGCTGCTATCTTCCTATATTCACATTGAATCATTGATTAAATGTTGATGCATAAGTGAAGAGGAAACACCTTCAAGGCATTGGCTCAACTAATTAAAAGTTTGATATTTTAAGTCAGAGATATAAACTTGAATCTTGAGTAAGGGTGGAGGGATTTGAGAAAGAAGAATGTTATCTTTTCTTGTATTGTTTTTTATTAGATATACCAAAAAAATAAAATAAGGAAAAAAGATGTAAATAAAGATGTCAAATTTGTAATTTTTTTAATTTAAAAATATTAATTTTGTCAATTTTAAAATAAAAATGTTGACTCTTTAACTTTTTTATTTATTTAATGATTAATTAGATGGTGATATTAATGTAATGCATTTTTTAATTGAAATTTTAAAAATTGAAATTTTTAAATAAAAAAATATAAAATTAACATTATTATTTATACTTTTATTCAAAAAATAAGTGAAGAGGATACAACACAATAGAATTTCCTAATTCGAAACCCTGCTGGGCTCAACAACTACGAGTTCAGAACTTTCACACCATGGGCCCAAACAGAAAATCCCTCATGGGTCCAATCCAAATTTGCAAAGGGAATAAAAAAAAAAAATGAAAATAAATTATTGAGTCAATGCTAATACAATAGTTAAGTCAAAAGAGAATCATAAATAATTTCCAATGAAAGGCCCAAATCACACAGATGACAGATCAATGATTTTGTGTTGTATCTTTCACTACACCAAGGAATCTGTCATTTAATCATCCAAAACCGAAGGCTAAGATTGTATCTGTTCTCTTACTTCCAACTATGACATCGTACCGTAGTGCTATCCTTACCTGGAAAACATTTTTTCTATAACCCTGTGTTCCCCTGTCTGGTATATATCTTGACTAAGCGCCACTCACCTTTCACATCTTCAAAACCCTAGGTTGGGTTTGGCA